AACTCTGGGAAGCCTTTTAAAGTCTAAAAGAAGCAAAAGAGAGTGGCAAAGTGTCTTGAATAGTGAAATATGGAAATTAGAATTGGCACAAAAGGATATTTTTGCTCCTTTGTTGCTGAGTTATTATGATTTGCCCCCTCCAGTAAAGCAGTGCTTCGTGTGTTGTGTTCTTTTTCCCAAAGATCACCTCATTTTTCCTCACTTACTAATTCCGCATTGGATGGCCATGGGTTATTTAGGGTCGGATGGTAATGCAGATTTGGAGTCAAAAGGGGAAGAGTACTTCCGCATCTTAGTAGACCGCTCTTTCTTTCAAGATTTTAGAATGTTTGAAGGAGAGCTTCTTTGTTGTAAGATGCATGACATACTACATGATTTTGCTTCGCATTTGGCGGAGAATGAGTTTGCGATGAAAGAGATCAACTCAGACCATTTGACTGTAGATGGGTCAAAGAATCGTCACTTGAGAGTGATGATTGATGCAAGGATCCCTTTTCCTACATCTATTTCTGGTGCAGAAAAATTGCGAACCCTTATAACTTTCACTAGAGAGGGTGCACTGACTTATGAGGCCTTGGGCAGCTTGTTTAATCATTGCAGACGCTTAAGGGTATTGAGTTTTGCTTGGCCTGATGGAACTGATCATTTATGCAAAGAAATTCCTGAAGGAATAGGGAAATTGATACACTTGAGATTCTTTCACTTGGGTTCTAGTCAAAAATTAGAAAGGCTGCCTGAAGCACTCTGCAACCTACTTAATTTGGAGTGTTTGGATTTGTGGAACTGTGGAAATCTCAAGCGGTTGCCAGATTCAATAGGAAAATTAATCAACTTGAGGTATCTTTACACTGCTGGTTGCTCTGCTCTCACTCAATATCCAAAAGGCGTACAGAAATTGACTTCTCTTAGATATTTAAGTGGGCTCATTGCCAGAGCTGATCGTAATGATGCTAAAGAATTTTGCCTTGCCGATCTTGGAAACTTGAAGCACCTCCGTGTACTGCATTTGAAAGTGGTGGGGAATTCAATCGATATGGAGCAGGCTGGAAAAGCTCAACTTCAGGACACCCAGAGTTTGCATATATTTTTAGCTGGCAGTATTCAGAGAGCAGACATAATTGAAGCCTTATACCCACATCGAAACATACCATATTTAAGGTTCTACAGCGACTACGGGTTTGGTCCTAGTGAACGCAAAAGGTAATCCATTTATCCCATATAAATGCTCTTTTTCAGTTTTCCCAATGAGAGATCATCCTATGTATGCGCTCTTCAAATTGAAATTTTTCTTCAAACATTGCTGATTTCTAATTAAGCTTCCTCATACTAACCAAATATGGACTTTGCTTTGCAATTGACTGCTTCAGTGCTTCTCTGTGGGATGCAGCTTACTTTCCCAAGGTAATGTTTTATACCTTATAGAGCAGTAATGCTTTCATTTTTCTAATTTAAAAAGTATTGTATTGTATAAAATGTATAATTTAAATTATTAGATGAAGGGTAAACCTTTTAATATTAAAGATGTTCATTATCTAATAGTTTTTATTTTATAATTTTATTCAATTCAAATTATAAAGGATTCTTTGTAATCATTGCTATAAAAATAAATATACTTACGGAAGGACCAATTGTATATTTTGTAGGAATTGGACGTGCTTGTGGCAAGGAGAGATTTCGAATGTTGAGTGATGGGCTTTCTTCTATTGTTGGTGAACAAGGAAGCTGTTTCTATCTACGAAAGTCGTTTTAATTTCCAGTTATTTTGTATTAGGAAGGTTGTGTTAACTTCCACTTATTTTGTATTAGGAATGTCATGTACAAGAATTATCAATCATGGCTCGAAACTCATGGTGCGCGCCGCTCTCATTTTCCATCTTGGGTGTGAGATTTCAGAATTGGGATTTTTTATTTTTTGGTCGACTTCTTATTGTCGTTGTTTTTCAAAATTTTTTAAAAAACTTTTATTAAAAAATAAATAAATAAATAAACAAACAACCCACCCCTTACAAAGCGAGCTATGAATTGAGCACGCTTAATAAATCCAGAAGGAAAATTGATTCCATGGTGTCCGCATAAATGTAAAAATCTCTGGGAGGAAGAAATATAATTTTATGTACTGAAGGAGTCTCCTAATCTTCCTGCAAAATTCTTTTAAATAAGTCAAACAAAGTATACAATTGAAATACTAACAGATCTTAAATATACCCACAGAAGTTCCTGAAACATAACATAACACAACGATATGATAAAAGTTGACAACATACCAGAGTCATTGCAAAATATAAACTTCGACATCTAGGTTGTCTAAATAAAAATTCAGCATCATCTGCTTTTGCGGCGATTTTTTGCAGCAGCACAGTCTGAACAATACCATTTTCCTTTTGGTTGTTCTTTAAGACCAACACATCCAAAATGAAACCATTCTATCTTGCACTGTTGAAACAAGCAAAGACGTGCATCAGATAAATTTTAGAAAACAAGGCAAAAGATATTTTCCAAGAGAGATAAACAATAAACTCGGTTACATGCATCTGGGTTATCGCATGCCACCATCTCACCAAAGCTGACTTGGTTGCAGAAACAGTATGTGGGCTCATTTGGATCCACTGGTAAATCTAGCTCCATGCCAGTCGGATTAGCAGCAGCTGCTGCTACTTCTGTTGCTGCCACCGCTGCTGCCGTTGCTGTTGCCAGCCATGTTCTGCACCATAGGAGGGTTCAAGCAAATGTCATGGTTCAAAATTTGTCACAGGTACACCAGAGAAACATGTCCAGTGTGCATGAATAAGGACTTTATTTTTCAAGCCAAGCTTTCTGCTGCAGGAAGAAAAATAAGAGAATATTGTTTGGGTCACATGGTGTGGTTTAGATCACTCATAGCTCAGAACCAATTTTGACCCAGACCAACTGGATTGCAAAATTTTGGAACCATGATAAACTATGGTTCCATATAGAACTAGACAAAATCACTTGATCCACTTCAGATCAGTTCACTCCGGGGTGATCTCACAACTTGCACAAGTAATAGAGAAAATGACTTCCTCAGGAACACGAAAGCAAGAATCAACAGCACAATAACAGCTAACAAAAACAAGTTTAAGCAATCTGTAAAGAAACCAAATATAAGGATGCCTAGGATGACGCCCTCCACTTCCACCTTCACTACTTCTTCCAGATTTCGTACTGCCATTAAGACTTGTAGCAGGCAAAACAGCAGCAGCAGCAGCGTTCTCTCTTTCTGTCAAAAACCATACACATATATTCCAAGGTAAAAATCTAACCAAGGTGGATATATTTCAGAACTAATAAAAGGTGTATTCAAAGATGAAAAATGAAAATTAGTAACACACCACACCGGAGCTCTTCATCAAATCTTTTCAAATATTGATCAAGCTGTTGTATGTGTGTATCTACTTGAATCATGATTACATCACAAACAGTCAGAGTATTGAATGATAACCCTGCAAAGGAGATTGATCCCAATCCACAATTTCACATAATGTAGACCTGGGTCCAAAATTAAGATCTTTAAATTTTGCAACTAAATTGAACTAGCTCATTACATTTTTTGTGGCGCCAGGAACAGAAGCAAGTAGGACAAGGAGAACATTCATGATGAAGAAAAATTCTCCAAAGATGAGATTGATGAAATGTCATTCAACAATGAAATCCTAAAATGCCTTGTGCTAAAAGTTTTACCATAGGTGAAGGGAAAACCAAAATAACAGACAAATGCTATCACAGACACTATCATTCATCCTTACTATGGAAGAAAAAGGATCAATTAAATTTGCAGGGAAAATCCACAATGAAATAAATATAATTAACCGTGACTTATTGGTCTGTCTATTCTTTTCATAAGGTAAGACTAACACCCAACCCATCAATGAAATAAATATAATTAACTGTCACTTATTGGTTACCAGTCCAATTATGAAATACTGAAACATAAGTAGCCATAAAATAATACTATACAGACAGAACATCATAATTCCCACAACTTTTGACCTTAAAATATAATGTGCCTCTGCCAAAGCTAACACGGCATCACAAGTTTACACAGCCACATAAACCTGGGGTTCTGGGGGAGGGTATTGCAAAAAATTATCACCTTGATAACTGAACTCACATTATTAACTCTAAGTCAAAACAAAGATCATAAGTCACACAACAATAAAAGCATCTAGAAAAGACCATTTCACTCTTTGGGCATTTGGAATTTTCACCTATAGCACTTGATGCAGCGGAAAACTAACAATAGAATTATGGTAATGAAGAAATGAAGAGAGCATTTACAAAGCAATAATTGTCTCTTTAAAGGATACCTTGCAAACTTTTGTCCAGATCACGGATCAATGCATACTTCTTTTGTAGAATATTTGGTAGTGATTCCAGATCTGTCAAAGGCAAAAGAGTTAACCTATTCAATAACTTAAAGAATGAGGATAAGAAATGTCATTAAGATTTGCCAAAACATCATATATATTGCTCAAACTGGAGGGTCCATACGTTTTATCCACCTAATTAACACAACTGAAATCAACTATCCTTTAATTCAAAAAAGATTGGGTGTAATATAAGTCATTTTTCTCCACTTTGCTTGACTTAGGATCATGCTTCCACAGAGGTGTTTAGATTAATTCATTCTATTGACTGAAAAATGGAAATACTGTGAAGAATTTTCATAATAAATTTATTCTATGCCAAAGTATCAACACAATAAAACAACGAAGAGGAGGTCCAATCAAAAGTAATTTGCATACACACCTGGTTAACCATTTCACTTGACTATTAAACAACAACGGGTATTTATTGAAAAATAGAATCTGCATAATAATTACACATTGCAACAGACATTATCTATAATGAGCACCCACAAGCTCTGTTTATCATCATAAACAAATGAGTTTATCCATTCATTTTCCACCTTAAAAGAGATAGTCTTGGAACAAAAAGGTGCCTTAATTTTATTCCCTTCGTACATTCTTAAGTTCGAACTGCATGATACCAAGAAACTAGCCTGGTTTGCTACCTTTTGACATGGCTTCTTGCAAGTAAGCATCCAAGATTTTGCAGTTGGCATGAACATTTTTAGATGACCTAATTTTTGAAAGAATTATATGGCATTGGTAAAGATTATTCAAAAACAAAAAAAAAAACTCTACAGGAAATAAAGATCAGATTTTTCTCCATTCCCACCTTTCCCAACCTACAAAAATTCGGTTCTTTCTTCATTTCCACCATCCAATGCCAATCACACAACAAGAAACAACTAAATAGATGACGCTAACAACTTCATGGTCTCTACAGCTTACTTAATTTTTTCTTTTAGAAAAGATTTCTTGAGCTGAAACAACAAAGAATGAGCGAAGTGCTAAACAAAAAAAATGGGGATTGTTATTTTCCTACATAGATTTACCAATTGAATTGTATATATCATCATCATCCCTGAGGGAATCAAATTTAACTAGGGTTTTTTATTTTTTCTACCGCATAAAACGATTCTAAACAAGAAAA